GGAACGGTGGTTGCCACTCCTGGGCGCGGGAATATTCCCTTCCGAGAGATAGCCGCCCCTGCTGAGGCGAGCCAAGTCGCCGTCGTTGACTCAGGCGCAGAACTGTAGAGGCGCAAACATAAATGGTACACTTTCTGCCGCACCGTATGTTACCGGGGCTGAGATGGTTATCGTTCATCCGGGTGGGCTGGCGGTGGGGTGGGTTAGGGAGGGGCCACACGGTGACTTTAACTACACGCGCGCCCTAGGCTTGAGAAACTGGCAAGATTAATTGACGCTGGCGGGATGGATGTCGCCTTCGACTGCGAAGCGCAGTAGCTTCGAAACAACGCAGTTTTCGGACACAATAACATCTGTATTACCGATGAGCACACTGTACTCATCTATGAACAGCTCAATGACCAAGAACATGAAGTCGTTTGCCAAACCCAGCTGGCAAATATTTAATGCCACGCCCACCTGAAATGTAGATATCCAGACGGTGAGGAAGAACTGCAAGAGCCACACCGCGAAGTGCCCCTGGCAGCAGAACACCGTAAATTCCCCAACCATGATGATCCTGGTGATCCAGAAGGCGGCGAAAACGAGGGGCCATTCCGGAGGCAGTCTTCCCTTGGAGGCCTCTGTCATCTGCGCGTCTCACAGGGACGGATTCAGACCCCAGAAGTTGACAGAAAAATCCGCAGATAAAAGCGATATTGTTGGATCAATTCACCAAACCCATATATATCGTTGTAGGAAAACAATAGGCTGGCGAGCGAATGTTGTTCCAGCGATCAGAAAATGACTACTTTATGGTATTTGTTGTGCTACCGTTGCAGATATACCACGGTATGTAGTAACACAAGTGTGTCGTACATGATCGTATATATCTGTTGCAACTATTTGAATTCACCCCGCTTTTGTTACCAATCGCCATTCAAGCAATTAAGATAGCCCAGGTGTGATTGGGACTCACGTTTAAAGGTACAGACTGAAAAATGTTGACATAAATGTCTGCTTTAGAAATGGGACGCATGTGTGGACGAAGGTTCACAATACGACATGGGTCCATTTGTGACCGCTTCAACAATACTGGGCGACATAGAACTCCATCTACGGTTAGGAATCGATTCAATTGCATATGCATCGCCAAATTGCGTCGGCAGATGCTCGCTTTTGCCTACGACTTGGCTGACATGATTGGATTGATTGCATTGATTACAATCAAATGAATAGCATGCTGCCTCACTATTCCACACGAAACAAATGTGTGGCAGAAAGGCCCAATTTGTGACGACGTCGCCGAAAAGGGTTGGGAGGATGGGGGCATCGCCATCACCGTCGACGGCGTCGGCCGGGCTGTCAGTCCTCCCACCGACGCCACTGGCAACGGGGTGGCGACCGTGCCCCCCCCCCGGCCGGCGAGGGGAAATTCCTGTGACGCCGTCCGAGGTTGGGACACTAGAGATGTGCGGTTGGTTTTATGCATATACAATTCTTGCATAAGTTAAATAGATGAAGAACTAACAGGTTTTTGGTGCCAGCTTTGCCCAATTTCCGTCTTGCGAGCTGGTGTACCCCAACTCAAACCCAAAGCAATCGAAGCCGCCCATGCTTTCAGATGGAAACTACAGCACTGATATATGGTCTTCTCAATTGCGAGATGTGATAATCCATCACCTTTTTGCAGTATCGCAGACCGGAAGATCGGTGCCACGATCTGCGCCAGCAAGTGCGCCGTGTATAGAGGAGAGCGGTCCAGAACCTGGCGCCGCGGCGGCCCCGGCGGCCCTGCGGCGGTTCGGCGGTTCGTCGGTCCACGTCATCCCCCCCCCCCTGTCTCCCGGCAGCTCGGCGGTCCACGTCAGCAACCCCCCCCCCCTCGGCGGCCCGGCGGTCCGGCAGCTCGGCGGTCCACGTCAGCCCCTGCCCCGACCCCCAGGGCCCCCACCCCAATTAGGCCCCGGCGGCTCGGCGGTCCGGCGGATCGGCGGTCCACGTCAGCAACCCCTCCCCCTCCCCCCTTGCCCCTCGGCGGCCCGGCGGTCCGGCGGATCGGCGGTCCACGTCAGCCCCTGCCCCGACCCCTAGGGCCCCCAGCCCCACCCCAATTAGGCCCCGGCGGATCGGCGGTCCGGCGGATCGGCGGTCCACGTCAGCATCCCGTCCCACCTGCCCCGGCCCTCGGCGGCTCGGCGGTTCGGCGGATCGGCGGTCCGCAACCCTCCTCCCCTTGGCCTCGGCGGCCCGGCGGTCCGCGGGATCGGCGGTCCACGTCAGCCCCTGCCCCGACCCCTAGGGCCCCCACCCCACCAGGGCCCCGGCGGCTCGGCGGTCCGGCGGATCGGCGGTCCACGTCAGCATCCCGTCCCACTCCCCCCCGACCCCTCGGCGGCTCGGCGGTTCGGCGGATCGGCGGTCCACGTCAGCAACCCTCCCCCTCCCCTTGCCCCTCGGCGGCCCGGCGGTCCGGCGGATCGGCGGTCACGCCCCTGCTCCTCGACCCCTTTCCTAGCCTCGGCGGCCTGGCTGGATGGGCGAGGACGGAGCATCACGTCAAGATCCCGACCCGCCCTGGCGGCTCGGCGGTTCGGCGGATCGGCGGTCCACGTCAGCCCCCCGTGTCCCCCTCCCTTAGGCCTCGGCGTCTCGGCGGTCCACGTCAGCCCCTCCTCCCCATCCCCTTAGGCCTCGGCGGCTCGGCGGTTCGGCGGCTCGGCGGTCCACATCAGCACCCCGTCTCCCCCCCGGGTTGGGGGTGGTCCTGAGTTGCGGCACCAACGATTGTGGCGGCTGGGCTGTCCGCCGAGCCCCCCCGGCGCGACGGGACGGCCGGTGGGCGTGGTCGGAAGGAAGGAACGGCGGCCGGTGATGGATCCTTGGACCTCGCATGGGCTTGGCGAGGCACGCCGGTTGAGTCGCGGCGGCCCGCGCATGTCCGAGTGCCAACCCCTTGGGCTGTCGGAAGGCACGATCGCATGGAGGCAGCAACGCCGTGGATAGGTACCCGGCACGAAGCGAGGTGGGCGGACAGACACCGCGGGAGGGAATGGCGGAGGTGGGGTGGTGAGAGCCTGTACCTGTGTCTCGCTTACTCGTGTGGCAGCCCATGGAGATTGCAACTCGACTGTGAAGGTTGCAGTGCTGTGGCTTTAGAAGCGCACCCTTGCTTGAGTCCTTGGTAATAAGTCAAAACAGAGAATCACACCTTCTTTCAGCGAGGTCGAGTCAGCGCTTCCTGGGTGCAATCATTTGCTGTTGTAACTCGGGCGACTTTGCTAGTTCCCGCGAAACTTGGCTTGGTGGTGCACCAACGGTGTACAATTCTGCCATGCGATTGACACAAGAGTGCACAGCTGCTGTACCTATTCAGTAGCCCTATGCTGAAGTCAAGCTCGGCGTTCACGGCGTCTTGCATTGAACAGGTTATCCTTCCACGAGTTGGGTCTGCGTGTGTGACTGGATCCTATCAAACAGCATTTCAGTTTAAATTGCTTTGGATCATAGCCCACCACATGGAGCTGCATCCCTCCAATGCCGGTGAGGGGACACGAAAGTGGGTGGAGGGTGTGGCGTCGTGCGGGGAGCAACACATGGCTGGAATTACCCTGATGCTGGAAGTGCTAACTGCACAAGGTGATAAATCCCTGGCAGCCACTTCACTCAAGAAGAAACTTGTGTATGGGTGGTTTGGGGGCTGGTGAAATGTCCATGGACTACCTAGCTGCTCACTGTGACGTTGGTATTGCTGAGCACAGCAGTTTGAGGTTTAGTGGAATGCGTGTGAACTGCTGCCCCTGTACCATGATACTGGATTCTCTGTTTCACCATCATTCTTTAAATGGCCACCTTCCTACCATGCATCACAATCTGTCAGCTGCTGGCCCTTTGTCTTGATGCTGAAAGTGCTGAGTACACTAACGACTTTATTTCGTCATGAGACCAATTGCTTTGGAAAATACCCATGAGCATGAATGGATTTGGGTTTGGGGGGAGTGCTTGCCAACTGCCGCCCGTTCCCTATGAAGATGGAAGTTGTGGGTACGCAATTGGAATTATGTGCACAGCCCCCATTTCTTTAAAAATACTGGCCACCTTCTTACCATGCATCAGAATCTGTCATGCGTGTGAGAGCAACCCACACAAGCGTGCCCCACTGCCCAAGGCCCATCCCAGCGGGGGGCCCGCTGCCCCGGGATCGGTTTGGGTGAACATGGGTGAACAGAATTTTGGTTTAGTTATCCATTAGACAAGTTCGCTGGCGGACAGTTACCACACCTATGCAGATTCTGGTGTAAGTTCAGTGGCAAGTTTTGCACGGTGCCATTTGAGGTCGCCAGCCATTGCAGTTGATGCATCCCTACTGAATCGACTGCTTGATTCGCCACCTGTGCTGATCCTGGCAGTGGTTTGCTGGGTGGCACCAGTGATCCACCTCCGCACACGACTTCGTGGGTGGGCATGCGGAGCAGGCGGTCTCGTCTTGGCGGTTGGCTTTGCGAATGTGCACAATGCTCTTTTTAACAGGCTGCGTGGAGCTCCATGTGCATCCTTAGGTGCTGTCGATGCTCAGCTATGTCAGGCAGAACTGGCGTGCCTGGCACCAATTGGGAGTCCTACACTGTAGGCATGGGACGAACTGTCTGCAAATGCTTGTGGTTGTCCAATGCATGTACGCATACGCGCTGCACAGCTGTTTTTGCACCAAGCCATTGAATGCTGACGAATTGTGCTTCTAGCTGCATACCCAGGTACTGCATCCAATGTGGGCAATGTGCAGCTCTTGTCTAATTGCTGGCTGTCAACAACACCCAGATGTGTATTGAGCCAATGCACTCGTATTTTCCACTGCACACAGGCATACGGAAAGTGCATTGTGATGTAATGGAAGCTGTAGAGTGGAGTCCAGTGCTTGGCTGCATTGTTGCTGAATCCAATGCTTTGATGACTCCAGTTGGTGTCTGCACAGGCACACTACAAGCACATGCACTGCCAGCCGCACAAACAGGCAGGAAGAGATGCAGGGGTGGGGACTTGTAGAGTACAGCCGAGCACAAGACAAGAGCTGCAGTTCTGAAAATCTGCACAAGGTCAGCCGTATGTCACTCTGCAGCATGTTGTTGCTGTCGCGCGTGCAGCACATAGTAACCACACAAGTGAATGATTGGACAGAGCGGCCGTTTCATGGCTGTGCTCTCCTGTGGTTCTGTGTTCCTCTGAGCTATGGCCCCTTGTGGCAGCAGAATGCTGCCTTGCAGAGATGTTGTGTGCGCACATCACCTGCCCTTGCCGCTGAGTACATACTTTTGCTAAAAATTGCGTGCACCACACCGCAGTACTGCCCAACTGCAAACCTGCTGCACGACCCAACATTACGTCTGTTGTGCACTGGGGTCCCATGGATCGCCCTCCACCCGCCCGATATGCTATTCCCCAGAATCGTGCAAACGTGTAGGCGGTCGGCGGGTTTTTACTTGTACCAGACCTATTCACAATCTTATTCGTAGTCTGTCTCTACTCTGGCCCTCTATCCTCAATGCCCTCGGGGTCCTGCCTTGCGCGTTTTGCTTCACGCCCTTTCCTCATCGCCACGTGAGAGCGGACTTGGATCTTGGACATCGAGTCCCAAGTGCCGGTGTACTCTTCCTGCTTGGTTCCGCATAACTCCAATAGGAGGTATGTGAAGACTGTTGGGCTGCAGCTCCTGCCAGACAAGAACCAACGCCATTCACTGCATGCACAACATTCATCATTTTTTGTTTGTGGTACATAACAGTCCCATGAGGGCACGAGCTTCAGAGTTTTATATGTCATTCGAGAATGGGCAGGCACAATTAGCACTAGTTTTAAAGGGGTATTGTGTAGACTATCGTGCTTACCGGAAAGCAGCGGCATACCCATTGTAGATCCTGTTCTGTTGTTCTGCGATGTTAAAGTTGAGTTTCTTCTCCCTGATCTCACTATGAGATTCAGGGTTGCAATGAGCAAAGCAGAACGCCCCCTTGTGCCCCTTCATGTGAAACGGATCCACTGCAATACACACATTCCTGTTAGTCCCACATCTTGCCACCAAGGACAACTTGTAGGTACAATCGAATCGTGCAGTTCTGTGCAAATAGCTTACCGAATTTGGTGACAGCCGTGGATAGGAATTCTTTCAGGACCGGGATGTCTATTCCCTTCTTCATCAGCTTCTTTTGCACATTGGTTGCCAGACGTACCAAGATGCACATCGCATCGTAACCCATGTACAGCTGCTGCTCCTCTTGTGTTGTCCGCTGGCCAACACCAATGCCAACGCCCTCGAACCAGTGCAGAAGGGCGAGAAGAACCTGTGAATTTCAAGTACACAGCTGAGGTTATTTTCATATCTGAAGAATGACAAACAATAGTGAGAAGGCGAAAAAAGTTGAGGTCATGTAAAATTATTACTTCTGACTATGATGTGCGAGGTGTGTGGGGTGTGGAGATTAGGGGCTATGTCATGATGGTTGGATTAATATCGGCCATGCAAGCCCACAAACAACCAATGGGCTGAAACAACAGTTTGCACAGGCCTGAAACATGGGCTGCGAGAACATGTTCCCAATGGCATGAATGGCTTCTGAAATGTTGGTGAATACATGGTGTGTGGCAATGTGCTTACCATTGTGAAGGATTCTCCATCAGGAAGCTCGATGGGGGGAAAGGGGAATCCACAGATGCAGAACATGAACAATACACCCCCTGTCCTGTTTGCCCATCTCAAAAAGGTTTTTGTGCATTTCCCCTGGCAGTTTGGTTTCGTTTTCTGCAGCTCTTTCCTCAACCCATCGGCCATGTCTTGCGTCAACTGAGGGAGATCGATGTCCTCAACGCCATCCCCAAGGGCCGTGTTGTCCACTTCAACTGTGAAGTTGTCATTGTTGTTGTGCAACAACTTATATGGCTCCTTGTCCAGGTGGTCTTCACTTATCTGTCCAGTGCATGGTGCAATTTAGTTTGAAAGGTCCACACGCCAACCCGGGGATGACTGCCACATACTCATCATAGTCAGCAACCATGGCATATCCATATTGAAAGTACCCACCTCTGAGAGTGTGGCCTTGGCGGCAGCATTCCGGTATTGATGGAAGTATTGAAGCGCTTGTTCATTGAGGTTTTGGTGGGGCTCCACAGTTATGCCATCATAGTTCTTCCATTTCACCGCATACTCCCTCTTGTCGCTCTGCATTTGCGCAGTTTATTGGGTGGGTTAGAACTGGCCATATTTGATGAGGGCATGCATGGTCAACCAGTGTGATGTGTTGCATGCAGAAACCCCTCCAAGGGCGGAGTAGCTGAACTCAAAGGGAACAGAAATGACTTGAGTGAATCGATTGAACTCAAGTAATTGAGGAGAATTGAGGCCATCAGACAGTGGTGGCATGGGAAGCCCTTCTGTTCGTAGTATGTCAACCCTACCAGTGGAGAATCGTCGTTGTTCCAGCAGTACAAGATGTCCTCGACCTCCCAGAATCCTTGGCCCAAGTAAACCCCTGTGGTTTCCCTACTGCTGCTTACGCCAGTGCTTGGACATGTTGCCTGTTGCTTTTTGCATTGTCGATGAGGCTGTATCCTCCTGTAGGGTGTGTTGCACGGTGGTATGCTGTCTCGAAGTGGGCACATGTCCGCCACCATGCCCGGTTGTCCATCCGTGCTGCGGAGCCATGCATGCCTCCGTGTCAGTGTAGTAAGTGAAGTCTCTTGTGTTGCCTCTTCATCTCTCGTCGCTGTGTGTGCAGGGTGTCCTTCATGGTTAAGAGGAGGTGCTGTGAGGGCGGCACTGTCATCTCCTTGTTCCGCTGCTGTGGGGCGTTGCTTGAGCATGCATTCCTGTACGGTAAGAGTTCTGTCAGCTTACTGCTTGCTCACAAGGATGCTGAAAATGTGGCCATTGAGTTGGCACCCCAAGGTGCAACCAGCAGCTCTGCTACTATGGGTGGTGGCCACAGGGTGCCAGCAACTATGGGGTGGGGATGTCAGGAAACGAGCGCAGCTGGCTAGGAACTAGTTGGGGCCGAAGATGGCATTTAAGGGCCGGAAAGAATGTTGTCCCGAAACTGGGTGTGGGATGCATCGACAAAAGGCAATTACCACATCTTTGTCATTATGCCCAATGGTCCTCGCTGAGTGGAAAATAACGATTCAAGTCAAGAATTATAAGAACTGTGTCACTCGTGATTGTCAACTGCTTGTCCGCTGGGTGGTGGTTGCTTACAGTGCATCTCCTCTTCGGGTCCTTCTGGTTTGGTTGACGTAGACAATACTTGCTGAGCGCCTCTAATTTGGATCGACCAGGAGCCGACAGGATGTCATCAACAGCTGCTCTATTGTCATTCAGACAGGAACAGCGACTCCGCCATAGCGCAGTCCCTCCATCGATCATGAATGCTCGTCCACAATGCGTATGATTGGTACCTTCCCTACAGTGCAAATGGGACCTGCCCAGCAATCGAACACGCTTGATGTCTGTGACTTGTGCCATTAAGTCCGGCAGCGACATGTTCAAGTTTATGTTGTGCATGGCATGTTTGAAGTGCTGAACGAACTCAGCCAAGACACTCCTCTTCAGGAAAGCTGCCTGGTAGCCTTTTCTGGATAGTTGGCATCGTGCGCCCAGCACTTCGGTGTCCGCCTGGTAGGAGCCTTGCATTGCACACAGCAGTGGAAAATTAGGCCGAAATGCTGAAGGTGGCAGTCACTCAGTAAGTGTTTGGCTGTGTGTGTGTGTGTGTGCCTCCAGGTGTATTTCAAGGTCCCGAGACTTTCCAAATCTATACCCATGGGGTTTCGTCAATGCCATCACTGGTGCATGGACAGTTAGATGCTCACCGGTAGCTCGATTATTGCACAGCACCAGTTCCAATTCCCTCATTGCCCTTGATGCTGCGCTGAATCCGGCTTGCACTGTGTTGAAGAGGATGCGGTGGATGGGGACAATGCTGTTGTGCACAAAGGTGTCCGTTGAAACCTGTAAGTACAAAGGAATCGGTTTATATGGGTGATGATGACGAGCATCCCACATACAAGAAGGTAAAAGGAGCCAATGTGTGCCATGATAAACAAACATCCAGCTGGTGCTGTTCGCAGACTCCAGCTATACTAGATGCAGAAGGCTTGTATTGGAACCTGCAACTTGGCATTACATTCCAACGAAGCAATTGCCAACTTTGCCATGGAGCAGCAGCGGTTGATGTTGAATGCACCGCTTCGTGAGACAATCAGCGTCAGGTCCCTGTGGGAGACGGAGGGAAGACTGCAAGGGGTAGCAGGTGGCATTACTTTCTGGTGTTGGGCTGCTGTAGATTGGTGATCTGGCGGGCTGGGGGGTTACTGGCTCCCCGTGTTTCACGGACAGTACGCCATGGCTGACTGCGACCGAAGCAGTTTGTCTTATGGTATACGTGCTTGTTCGTTCGTTGGATTCATTTGTGGACAATGTGATGCAATCTGCCCCGAGGGATATTCATATTCAATCTTAAGTACAACACACCTTCGTCCAAGTTGTCTCGACATGTGGAGGATGTGGCGACGTCCACTCCTTCGGAGACTCCCCGGAAACGTATCCATTCATGTCGAAAATGAGATTGCAGCGGGTACATTCTCTTGTGAAAGCAATCCCCTTTCCGCTGGTCACACCAGGAATGTAGAACACAGGCTGGTGTCCTTTTGCCCTCTCCGGTGAACCCAACTTCTGCACAACACACCACATTCCGATTCGTAGGCAAGATATTTAAAACTGATGCGCATTCGATGATGGGGAGGGCACACTCCATCGCTACAATGGCACAGTTGTTTGCGAAGCACGGGCATCTCTGCAGCAATAGCGGGATTTCAGATGCATCGAGTGTGGGAATGGACTTGCCTGGTCGCACTTCGGGCAGTTGTACGCTGGGGGCGCGACTCCAAAGGCCAGACTGTTTTTGTGCAGGGATGCTGACACCTTATTCCGGATGTTTGGTATCTCTGCCCAGTTGACACCATGTTTGTTCTCCATGCCCAAAACCAGTAGTTCGATTTCATATCGTGTAAGCCTTCTTAGTGTGGAATCTTGGGGTGCAACGTCCTGGAAGGTCCTTCTGAGAACTTCGTAAAGATCTGGATTCCGGGGATCGATGTCTACATTACCCCGTGTTCGTATGCTGTGCCAGCCTCTGTATTGCAGGGTAGTCTCGAAGTATGTAGCCAACAGTGTGACGATATCCACCACCGCCAGCCCTGCTTTCTTTGCTTGGCGCAGGAGATCCTTCAACATTCATGACACTTGGTGATAGTGCAATGTACAAACCACATATCACTGCTGGCATTTCTGCTATGAGCATGGAGCTCCTTGTCTGACAAAGACATTGATTCAGCAAAGAAGTATAGTTTTCGTGTTGATGCCAACCGAGGAATATGTGCATCAAAAGTTTCAAAATAGTTTGACGGTTGCAATGGCACATCCCACCACACAGCCATCGGCAGCAACCACTACCAACACACTTCA